CATTGTGGGAAAATTCTACTACCGATTCTTTATCACCCTAAACTAAATAGGGTGAATTCATTTCATATAATTGATCTACTGGTACTCTTGAGGCTCTGCTTATTAACGAAAAACCTATCACTTCGTTGCAGGCGTCTTACTCTCTCTTCCTACTGCTCTCTCTCTTACTCTCTCTCTCTCCCTCTAGACTTTGGCCTCAGCACTCAGATCAGTCTTCCCAGCAACTCGGACAACATCCAGTCGACCCGCAGTGAGGCCTCCTACATGACTGTGACCCCCTACTCCGTTCATCTGGGTGGCGAGACACAGCAACAACTGCCAAAGCCACACCAGCAAAGGCAACCGCAGCAAAGGTCCGAATTGGAGCTCTCCGAAGGCCTCTGTCGGACGCAGTGTGGCTCGCCGGCGTACGCCGCGCCAGAAGTGCTCAGCCGACAGCCATACGGCCTTCAGGCGGACGTCTGGAGCGTGTATGTGATCGCTTCGGCTGCCAATTTGTCACCACGGCAGCCCAGGAAGCCAAGCTAAAGCTTAACTTAAGGTTGTTGTACCTGCCTTTCGGAGAATGTGGTGCACTGGCTGTACTCAGGGCCTCCACATTCCGAAAAACTGGGTAGACGATCCCCAGACAAGTCGGCAGAGCCTCAGGCCCAGAACTGGCCTCAAAGCATTCTATGCCGTAGTTTCTACATCCTAAATATAAGCTAATGTTAGCAGTTAAAAAAAAAGAAATCCTCATTTTATCCCGTTGTTTCCGCTCAGCTCCTTAATTATTTTTCGTATGTAAGTAGAGTTTCGAGACTACCAGTAAATAAATAATATGAGATATATGAGATATATTCACCATATTTCGTTTAAGGTGGTGAATATGAGTAGAGCTGACATTTCCATTTAATTTTACCTTAACGAAATAGGGTGAATACATCTTATATTACTGATTTACTGAGTCTCGAAAATCTACTCACATACGATAAATAAACCAGCCTACGATGATGTAATGTGGATGCATATGTACGTATGTGGTATTGTGTATTGCATGCAAGCAATGTTCAAGTCAAAAGAGATGTGATTATTCTAACCAGACTCTAGACTATTCAAATATATGAGATGTATTCACTCTATTTCGTTTAAGGTGATGAAGGACTGGTAGTAGAATTTTCCCACAATGATCTGAGTAGAGCTGACGCTTCCATTGAATTTCACATAGCCTTACTTTCCCAAAAGTTGTTTACATTCAAACAGAATTGGATTGCAGTTTTGCCCTCGCGTAGGTCTTATCTACAAGGCCATGTAAAAATCCATGGATACGTCAACTCAACTACCAGTCCTTCATCACCTCAAACGAAATAGGGTCATACATCTTATGTTCCTTGTTAATTAGGCCAATAATTGGCTCCAACCCTCATCGCTTCCTTCCACTTCGGGCCATGGTCAGATTGCCATTTGACGCCGGTCCAGACAGGACCGACCGTCGAACACTTGTAGTAGTCAAGCGCCGGGAAGAGCCTTCGTGAACCCGTGTTACTAGGATGGAATATTCCGGGTTAATCAAAACTTTTGGGTTTTATCTGGTCCTGACTGATGAACCATTTTTGTTTCATTTGGCACAACAATTGTCAGTTTCTTGAAGGCCCCTCATGGCTACCACTCATTCAAATAAATCCCTATTCAAAGACAAAAGCCGCGCTCTGTTTGGTCATAACTCACTCATCAGCAGTTGCCAGTCAATTTATTCAGTCATACGAGATGTATTCACTATTTTTCGTTAAGACGATGAATGAATGCTAGTTGAATTTTCCCACAATGATATGTGAAAACCTTACGTTTCCATTACATTTCACATAGCCTTGCTTCCCAATTGGTATCCTCATCCAGCATGAACTGCAGTTTTGACCTCGCCTAGATTTTATCAACATCTCCAGCGGGACTCGAACCATGACAGTGCAGTGCATAATCTCGACACAGTAACCATTACGCCACATTGCCCCGAGTGCCGATGTGTTCAAGGCAATATGTAAACTGTAAGGAAGACCAGGCATTTTCCCATATCATATTCTACGGAGGGAGTTGTATTTGCTATAGCAATTCATTATACTACTTACTTTAGACTATCAGTATATCATGTATATGTCATGTATTCATCTTAGTTACTTAAGGTGATGAAGTCGGCCTTACAGAATGCTAACTAGCATAGTAAAGCTACTCATGCGTAGGGGAGAATTCAGTCAACCTAGGTCACATAAGATAATGTAAGGACAGATAGTTGAGTATGAGTATGCCTCACGATGCCATTGGATTTGACTTAGCAAACTCATACAGGATGGACTGCAGTTTCGGCCTCGCCCATGACTCAGAAGCACTCACAACCGGATTCGATACCGGGTCTTGAGTGTTGTGGCGATGCTGTTATTCCACTCCAATATTTGGCTATTGATGCCAGAGACGATATTCAAGGCACGCCAGGTCTTCTCAACTTACATCGTTGTAGTGGAACAGTCGGGTAAACAAAAGTGTTTAATAGATAGGTTCTCGAGACTAATAATATACCTGATATGGGAACTGTATACCCCTTATTTTGTTTAAGGCTATGCAGGAATGAGAGCTGCATTTCTCCACGTTCATATGAAGGGGCATCATGCTTCCATTTAATTTCACATGGCCTTGCTTCCCAAAATGTATTCTCATTCAGGCAGAAATGGAGCGCAGTTTCAATCCCTGCGGGATTTTGACCAGGGTTTTTGTAGTGCAGCATCTAGTCTCGACACGTTGAACACTACGCCATACTGCTGCAAGTGCCCC